CTCTTTGATTTGGTAACAGTCATGAAGCAATGAAAAGGCTTTTGCTAATAAAGTGAAGTAAGCCTCATTTCTGTTGAAGACAGTGATACTTGCTTATCTTAAATGCACCTTTAACTCGAGTAGTTCCTTTCTGCCTAATCTACTTCTTTCTTCCTTCTTTTTTCTTGGGAAAGACTGGGGAATATGGAGGTACAGGTTTGTGTTTGCAATTTCTGATCTGGGTTTATTTTTCAGATGGAACTGATCTCAAGAATACAAAGTCCATTTGTGGTGGAATACAAAGATTCCTGGGTGGAAAAGGTCTGTTCATAGTTTTGTCCTTTCATCATTTCACTTCAAACACTTATCTACGTACATGTGATAACTTGTCTGCTCATGTCATTCACTTCCGGATGACACACATTGTGAACAACATGAAAGATTTTTAAGTGGAAGTCTACAAACAGTAAAAAAAAAATGTAAAAGGGTGCCTATCTAGGTTAGACGTTGAACTACGTAAGAACTAAAACTACTGTTCAAGTGAATACTCAGCCCTCATGCATTGTTGCAGTGGTTGAACATGCAACTGCATATCTGAATGTGATAGATGTTTAGCTATTTAACTACTCATCTCGATGGTTAATCTGGATTTTACTGGAAAGAAGGTAGGTAGTGCTATAACTCTAATTTTAGCAAGTATTGGTAAGTCCTAATAGACCAATATAAGGACTGTGGTTACAAAAATTGTCTAAGATACAGCTAAACCTTTGAGTTCTGGTGTGGTCATAATATTGTATAGCTGTGAAAGAATTATTTGTTCAGCCATGCCATTGACTATGCGAAAATACCCAATTTTCAGGGATGCTACGTGTGCATTATTATTGGGTATTGTGAAGGAGGTGATATGTAAGTCATCTTTCCTTTTCCCATGAACTGTTTTCAGAATTAGGAGCTTAGGCCTGAGGTCCTGAATCTAGTTGCTTATATTTGTCTACCCTACATATTGTCTAATCACTTCTTCAAACCTTATGCAGGGCAGATGCTATTAAGAGAGCTAATGGTGTTCTTTTCCCTGAGGAGGTTGTTATTAAATTTAGAATTTCCTTCTGACTCATACCCTCCCGCCTCCACCAAATAAATTTACTCCCTAATGTTGCGGCCATTTCATTTCCTGAAATCTTAATGTTGACTGATAAACAGAAGCTTTGTAAGTGGCTAGTTCAACTTCTGATGGCACTTGATCACTTGCATACGAACCATATAATTCACTGTGATGTCAAGGTGGGTAGCATCTCTTTATTCCATAAAGTTATTCTTTCTCAACTTTATAGATTTGTTTGCTGATTTAACTTTTTTGCTTCAGTGCTCAAATATTTTTCTGACTAAAGAGCACGATATACGTCTAGGTAATCCCCGTACCTCATAACTTGAAGTTGGGTATGATTGACTTGAGTATTTATTTCAAGAGTTGTTTTCAGGTGATTTTGGTCTTGCTAAAATACTGTCTTCGGATGATCTTGCTTCCTCTGTAAGTAACTTGTCTGGGAATATTCTGTATTTCTATTTGTTGTATTGCTTAGTCTAGTGATGAGTCATGTTGGCTGTCAGGTGGTGGGTACCCCAAGTTATATGTGTCCCGAGCTTCTTGCTGATATACCCTATGGTTGTAAATCAGACATCTGGTCTTTGGGTAAGTCTTTACCTTCTCCTTGCTTCACATGATGCACTTTCAGATGCACAATGTTTTGCTGACTGTTTGCATATCCAGGTTGCTGCATGTATGAAATGACTGCTTACAAGCCGGCATTCAAAGCATTTGTAAGTTATGAAATGCTACTTTCCAGACTATGAACTTTAATTGTATCACGAGCTGTATAATCAATTACCAAATTCTGGGTACAACTGGCAGTTTTAGGGAAAGTACTGGCAACTCAGATGGTCTATTTGTCTTTTAAAATAATCTAGTATCGATGTTAATTTAGTCCATGGGCTGTTTGTATACGTATACACTTCCGTGCAAGAAGTGAGCGCTGGAGTGTCAATTAAAGGATGCAGTTAGAGAAATTGTAGATTGGTTGAAAATGGGAGTACCTCATGAGTGCAAGTAGTGAAATAATGGAGGAAAGCATTCTCGGTTGGGCTAGAGTTGCATAAGTTAACATCACCCTTCCAATTAAAGGCGGTGCTAATGTTAGAGGTAACTTTTGCCTCCTGCTGATTTTTTGACGAGGCTATTTGTTTGATGTTAGTCTTAGGCCTCTGAGAGGAATGGACCACACACATGTTTGGTATTGCTGAGTTCTCCTTAACGGCGTGCAGCCTTGGTGTTGGAAAATAACAAAGATATGTTGCCAAACTTTGGACTTGGAAGAGCTTGTAGCCTTGATAATAGCTATCTTTAGATCATCGTTTGTCAAGGAACTCTTTGTGCTTACAATCTTGGTAGTGCTAATATAATTCCAAAATAGGTCTGTTGATTTGTGCATGTCTAAGACCATTTCTTGAGATATCTTCCTAAAACTGTTTCCATCGGCTGATGGGCAGTGTAGCCCTTCAGTACTCGATCTATAGTGAGACCAACTGTACTTACGCTTATGATGTATAACTTTGTTCTACCTTTAACCAGTGGAGGAGTTCTTTCTTATGATTGTGACATTCATTAGCTACTGTTTTCCCTATCTTTTTATTTTTATGAGATTTTTCGGCTTCTCATCATGTAATTAATTGATGTTTACCTTCAATATGTTTATTTTCAGTTGTAATAGACTTCAAATGACCTCCACTGTTTTGAATGCAGGATATGCAAGGTCTAATTAACAAAATTAACAAATGTATAGTTGCTCCACTTCCCACCACGTATTCTGGTGCATTGTGAGTAAATTTCCTTTTGCACATTTGAGGCTACCGATTGTAGCGCTTATTTTGTCAAATTGCTAATCTTTTGTGCTATGATTGGATAAATTTATTTTTGGTGCAGCCGTGGCCTTATTAAGAGTATGCTAAGGAAAAACCCAGAACTCAGGCCAAGTGTAAGTATCCCTCACTTCCTCAAAGTTCACTATTAACTTTCTACGTGCAAATTTTTGCTTCATGTAGCACCAAAGATGTTAACTGTTTGAAACATCAACTCCTTTTCACTTTAATTCTCTCCCAACTGTTGTTCCAGGCTGCAGATTTACTCCGACATCCCCATCTTCAACCCTATGTGTTAAAAATCCTTCTGAATTCTGACAGCCCTAGACAGCACAAGTTCCACGTCCAGCCCTCTAATTCAAACTATGTAAAGAAAAAAAGATTTTCTGAGCCTAGAGTTGCTCCAGTCTTCACTGAAAGAGAGCAGAGGCGATTGTCCAGTGATAGGGCTTTGAACCCTAGTATTTCTGGTACGGGTTCTCCATGTTTATCCCGGAGAGCAAAAGATCTAATGAGTTCTTTGAAGAAAAACTATTCAGAGCCGTCTGTTGAAAGTACTCCTTATGACGTAAAAAGTTCTGCTATCTCAAAGTTGTCAGCTGCTGTCAAAACTGTGCGATTTAATTCAAATAGAAATTCCACACCTCAGAGGAGACAGAGCACTCCATTAAAGATGTCCAATGCTGGTTCTACCCGTGAACTGGTACGTTTCTGATTGAATAGTATCGAAAAAAATTTCAGTGTAAAAGTCAAAACAAATGAAGAGAACTCCAGACAGGAATTGTAGATTCTTTTCTTGGTGCTATATTGTTGAGCCTATACTTGTAGTTCTTCAAGGCTTGAGTTTTCATTTACACTTATATACTTACATACAAATGCAGCTTCCAGTGACACATACACCAGTTAGCCAACCGTCCAAGTCAACGCGTAGAAATTCTCTTCCTTTATCAACAAAAGCTGGGAAGTTGGAGTCGCCTTACAAACATAATGTTGGTCTTCTTCACCAAGTGAAGTCTCCGGATGTCTCTGTGAATGCTCCAAGAATTGACAAGATGGTTGATCCCTTGGCTTCTTCAGAAGATCCTCTTTTGCCCATCCAGAGAGCTTCACCAAAATCTGTTCAGTTGTCTTCCCCCTCACCACGCTATAGTGACTGGTCGTTCACAAAAGACAAGTGTACAGTACAGGTTGTTGACAGAAGCTTTCCCAAGCCACCTTTAATTGACCCTATTCATGGAATTGCGCGGATTGGAAGTGAATGTTCAGAACATAATGCAACAACTGGCGCTTCAAGCCGGTCATCTTCAGAATCTCGTCCCCGGAGGTTTGACACCTCTTCTTACCAGCAACGTTCTGAAGCCTTAGAAGGATTACTTGAGTTCAGTGCTCAACTATTGCAGCAAGAGCGTTTAGAAGAGCTTACAGTGTTACTGAAGCCATTTGGGCCAGAAAAGGTTTCTCCAAGGGAAACTGCTATCTGGCTGACTAAGAGTTTCAAGGAGAAGGGAGTGTAATTGTAACCTTCTACATTTTCCTGCTTAACTGAAATGATGATGCATGGATTTTCAAAAGAGAAAAAAATCAGAATGCACACGGGGAAACTGTACAACATGAATAACCTGGTCATGAGAAGCAGAAAGGAAAATTGATTTTCAATTGGTTGTCTGGGTCTTTGTTGTAATGCGATGCTAAATGAATAAGACCATTAGAATCGGGGATGAGTAATGAACTAAAGTCGAACATATCAGTGCAGGAGATAAAAGTTTGATTTAACGAGTTTTTTTTAACGTACTTCGTTTCTTACACATAACCCTTACAAACGCTAATTTTTAATGGATATCTGATCTAAGTTGTAAAACTTTTAGGAAATAGTGGACCATCACAAGTATGATGTCACAAAAAATTCAAGTCATAATTTTTGTTATTTCTTTTAGCTTATTAGTAAAAGTCGATTCTAATAACCTTTAATTAATGAATTTAGCTTAATGCTTATCTTCTTCATATACAACTTGTTGCTCGAAACTAGTACTACTACTCTTTTGGTCAGTTAGTAGAGTATTTAACTTAATAAAAATATTTAACCTTTGGCAAAAGTCCGTCCGCTATTGTAAGTTTGTACCAAACGGTCTTCACTCTAGGTCGACTATATATATATATAAATGTTAAGACTTCGAAATTGCAAGACTGCGATAGCAAACCCACAATGAAAGAGATGGAGGGAGAGGTAGTCGAACTGTACGAGCTTCACTACTCTGATTTGAAGAAACTGTCATCAGAGATAGCTTTATCAGCAGCAGAATCTTGTGAAGAAATTCAGCGGCTTGAATCAATCACCACAAGTGTTATGGAAAACCTAGGACCAGAGGGACCTGGACTTCTGGCCATCACCGGCGTTCCAGAAGCTTCCAATCTTCGTCGAACTCTTCTTCCTTTGGCTCGAAAACTCTCTCTTCTCAATAACGAAGATCGCAGACGCCTTCTTAAGGTCCACCTCTCTCCCAGCTTTCATTTATCTTTTTCCCTTTAACTTCCTTCTTCATGTCTAATATTCAAAATGCGTATTAGCTAATAACATAATGCAATGAAAATTAAAAGAATATATAGTAACTAATTGAGATTAAAGGTTTAGTTATTACACTGCTGCTAGTTTTAGGTGTTTGCGATGAGTCTTTTGGTTTGATTAAAAAAGTCTAATTAGTGAACCCTTAATTCATGGCAGAAGACAAATTATTTATATAAATGAAATGTGCCCAAATAAAACGAGTTGGTTGTAACATTTAGAGAAGTTCTAAAAGAGAATCCTGAGTTTGCTTTAAAGAAGGATTTTTTTAACTATGCTTGAACTACCTGGGGTGGTTATGTATATTTATTGATAACTAGTTTGAGATCGAGGCATCAGTATCTGGTGTTCAATGCTTTAGCCCACTTTAATTTGGGCGTATTCATCAATGTATCCTTAATAGTTTTGCTAGTTTTACTGATTGAGTGAGGAAATCATAATAGTTTGAAATATTATTATTTTTTGAAATCTGACTGTGCATTGTAAAATTTATGCAACTTGCAAAGCTCTAAGATTTTCTCTTGAAAAGAACATTGATGGTAGCTAAGTTGCTCGGACTCAGGTGCGAGTATCCTATACGGAGACGGATCCGAGTATCGGATTTGGCAAAATCTAATTTTTAAGATTCGGGGGTGCGGATCCGGATATGGATACGGGTGCGGGGATTCGGCTAGTAAAAGGTAGAGCTATAAAATATTGTAAATTTTGAGAGATACTCTGTGAAAAACTTACATGAATATTGTTTCAATCTTTCATTCTCCAAGATGGACATTATTCTTTCATTCTCCAAAATCTGTTTTATTTTTTATTTTGAGAAATCAAAGTCTCAATATTTCTCCCAAATTTGTCGATGGACTCCGGTCAAAGTGTTCGAAGTTAGTTAACCGAATCCGGAACGTATCCCGCTCCCGCTCCCGCTCCCGCTCCCATCCCCGTCTCGTACCGGGACGGGGACGGCACCAAAATTAAGAGTCCGCGCAACTTAGGATGGTAGAGCCTGGTTGCATAATTTGCCCTATTGCTTATCAAAAGAAGATTGCTCTATTACTTATACTCTTATTGTTATTATTGAGCAACAGGAACACAGTCTGGGAAGTGATGTTTCATTGAAGAACCCCAATAGAAATGTCTCGTCTTTTTCCATGCAATTGAAATATGAGCAATGCTTTGAAATAAGTGATGGTCGGGTTGATGATCTAGATGTTGAAAATCGGGATGATGAAGTTGTTAATCAGGATGAGTTTAAGAAACTAGGATGCACCTTTAAGGAGCTAGGATACTGCATGATGGACCTAGGGCTTCGTCTTGCACAAATATGTGATAAGGGCATTGGGGGCCAAGAGCTACAACAGAGCTTACTAGAGTCCGGCACAGCTAAAGGGCGTGTAATCCATTACCATTCCGCTGTTGACAATGATATTATTAGAGAAGCTGCAAAAAGAAACGGATATGTTAAATCAAGAAATGGAAAATTCAATAAGAATGAGCAAGCAAGTACGAAACAACAAGGGACTGACTTATCGAAAGACCAGTCAAATGACTATGGTCTATGGCAGCAGTGGCATTATGATTATGGTATTTTCACTCTCTTAACAGTTCCCATGTTTCTGTTGTCCTCTCACCAAGAAACGCCAGCTGCTGTAAATACTGGTTCACCCGTTTCTTCTGAGCATGAGTTCCCTTCGCCCTGTGGTCACACATATCTTCAAATATTTGATCCCAAAAAGAATCAGGTCTTCATGGTAAAGGCACCTTTGGAGAGTCTCATTCTGCAGGTTGGAGAAGCAGCTGATATATTATCTAAGGGGAAGCTACGAGCAACACTTCATTGTGTTTGTAGACCACCAAAGATTGAAAAGTTGAGCAGGGAGACATTTGTTGTCTTCTTGCAGCCAGCGTGGAGCAAACAATTCTCTCTTTTGGATTACCCTCTTGAGAATTTAAATTTTAATAGTCAGCAGTGGGGAATACGTATTGAGGGAATTGAACAGCCTAGGCAGGCACCAGAGGAAATAAGTCACGAAATTCAAAAAATTGTTCCGCCACTTTTGTCGAGGCTGAAAGATGGGATGACATTTGCAGAATTTTCCCGTGAAACAACGAAACAATACTATGGTGGTAAAGGTTTACAGCCCAACAGATAGGTGAGTAGTAATACTTCTTTTGCTCACTCTTTTTCTATCTACATTCTTGCATACAGACAAATAATTTCAGTATTTAATAGCGTGTTTCTATTTATCTTGGATTCAGGCTTTCTGTGGGTATCTTTATATGCCCAGAGGTGCCATCTGGCTGGACAATGTTAAACTGACATTTACACCGTAGGGCAGTTTAATGATGTGTTCACAAAATAGGAAAGTTTAATGATTTGAGACACAAAAATGTCTTGGAATCACGCTTACTCTTGTGGTCTAACCGTATATGAGGTGAAAATCCATAATTTCAAGTCCCTGTCTCAAAGACAATGCTAGGTATAGAAGTGACGTGCACTTTTGCGGTTAGGAATTCATTTTCCATTGAGGTACATCAGAGGAACTAAAATGAGGCATATCCTGTTAGATGTGATTTTGGGTAAAGTTAAATTAAACGTTTTCTTAGAGTATGAATTTACTAGGTATTTGAAATGGTTGTAATGACTCACTTTCTATGGCAACAAATAACTTTGTCTTTGGAACTTCTGCAACAACCCAGTTGTGTGTCAAGGGGCAATGGCTCAATGGATTTGAAGTTTTTGGTTTCCTACAGTTATCTATAGTTAATTAACTGAGTTCCCGGTCAAATATTGTAGGTATTTAGCAGATATTTTAATGAATATACAGGATTTAGGCAAAAACTACTGCGTTCAGTGAACCTATACCCTCTAAGCTACATCCGCTCCTCCTCAATGTGCCCCAGGCAGAAAGAACTAATCGCTGCAACTGTGCACCTTGCTTAAGAATGACTGCTGAAAGAACATAATCTTGCAAAGCAACTGTCACGACCCATTTTCTGAACAAGCCGCGACCGGCACTCGATCACTAAACATGACCGAGCGAACCCTCTATACTTATCAAATCTATTATAACTCCAAACTTTATATGCAACAAGGCAATACTCTAACCAAATACTTTTGATTAATTTAAATATTTAAATAAATCAACTCCAAAATTTTATTCATAGTAACTACTAAATTACTGCTAAGTTATTATAAAAAAAAACATATGAATCTTAACCCAACAACTAAACCTCTACTAATAAACTGATGCACTGTTCAGGATATGAGATTTCCTGGCCAGTTCTCTAAGTAAACAAAGAAATAGCTAAATAAAAATGACTCTAAGGAATACTCCACGAACAAAAGCGGAGCTCACCAATAGCACTAGGAGAGAAGGAAGTCCTAACTCGTAGCCTGCTCACCTGCAAATCCGGTTCCTACGTTGTACCGCAGACCAACGTAGGTTCCCAAAAGAGAACGTCAATACCATCCATTGTACTCAGTGAGTCTCAACAACAAGGGGCAAAACTTTAATAACATGTACATTACGGGCAAATGTTCTAAATGTATGTAAAATATAAAGCTTATAAGAACAATTCTAAAATAATTGCATAATAGCAGTTTATGAATATTCTAAAAGAAATTCTTTTCTTTTTCTTTCTTAAAAAAATACTTCGTATTATACTTTGGGAGTTCCAACTATCATGACTTAATTCTATCTCAGTCACCGTGTGATCGACACGGGTTCGATGCCAACCTGATCGAATAGGCCCAATCCACGAGGTGCCACTCGCTTCATGGTTCTCAGCGCTCATGTATCATACCTTAGCATGGTTAAGTAAATTCTCAGCAACGAGACCCTCGGCTCGTGTGCTCCCTACTTTGGCACAAGTAGTTTCAGGAAGTCAACGCCTTGGTCAGGACCCTCGGCCTGGGCGATGACCCCTTCTCAGAATAAAGGATACTCCCAAAAATCTTTTCTTTCTAAAACTTCTTCTTACTTTTCAAGTCTAAATCTTTTCTTTTTGGAACATCATGTACATGCTCATGCTGGTATCCTTAAATGTAAAGCATGGAATAAGAATGAAATAAACATCTAAAAGTATTTCTAAGGATTCTTGCTTCTTCATAAATTTTCAACATGAAAATAGCATATAAGAATAACACAAAAATCTGAAAATTTATGCATATATATCATAATAAATCATCGAAACTTTTGCGAGAATAATTCTAAGTTAATAGGTACTCCTCGTTCTAATTAAGTAAATATAAACTCTTTTAAGCAATTCATCAAACATCTTGTATGCGTGCTTTTGTGAGTTAAACCACTTTAGTAAAGGGTTGTATCAACTCACCTCAATACTCCTTGAGCCAATACGTAGACCCCAGTCCAATTTATACCTGTCAAACAATTGATTCTACAACAACCAGTGCATTTTAATTAATTTCAAAGTTTTACACCTAAACCTGGGATTTACTGTTGATACAGAGAAAGAATTAGCTATTCAATTCTTACCTACTACCACTATAGAATAATTGACAATAGGAAATTTTATATACCTGAGTTCAAGAATTAGTGATTTGTAAAGAAACCTAGAACTTCCTGTTGCCTGCGTGAGTACTGAGCAACAAGGCTCTATTTCACGATTCTGTATTTCGTGCATGAAGAGACACTTGTTCTGTTTCTTTGTGTAAACCCTTTTTTTAAATCCTTTTTCCTTCCACAGCCCTTATGGGCTAAGGCCTTTCATGTGCTCTCTTTTCTTATTTGCCCTTATTTTTTTTTACTTAACTAGTGTTTAGTTATATCTACTTTTAATAATTAATAATATTAAAATTATTAATATTTTCCCTAATTGTATATCCAATTATTTATACATAGAGAAGTAACTCAACAATCAATCACAAGGGTTTAAATCCGTATTAGAAGTATAATTTAAGATTATAAAAATTATATTCTATATTTAGCGTGTCTTGAAACTTTTATAGATTTGAGGAGTGTTACAATCTTTCCTCCTTAAAAACATTCGTCCTCGAATGTTGCTAGGACCTTATTCTTAAGCTAACAATCATCTCTTAGGTCATTGAACCTCTTAAGTTTTCTTAGCACTACTCATGCTTCCAAATGACTCAAAATTTTGGTGAACTCCCTAAATTTTCAAAAATTTCGGCAGAGTTTTCCTTGTAAATTGGACTATCCAAAAAAATTATCCCAGTCACAAATACCACAACTACATCAACAACCAAATATACCATAACAGGCCATTCATAGGCGTCATACGCAGCTCATAAATTAATTACTCACACTCTGGCAAGGAGGTACCACAATAACTAACATGAATCTAAAGAACAACAACTTTAGAACAAGTAAATCACTTTAATGAATTATATATACTACGGCATAAACTAAATTACTACAACAACTAAGTATAATCTAGGAAGGACAGAAACACTTGCTAACTTGTATTTAATAAATGAAATACAAATGTCAAACCAAACTTAGGTTCACATACCTTTTTCCTCAAATAAATATGGATATTTCTTTCTCATATCTTCCTTGACCTCCCACGTAGCCTCTTTTGAATCATGATTACTCCACAAAACTTTTACCGATGCTAAATCTTTTGTTCTCAACTTTCTTACTTGCCTATCGAGAATTTCTATAGGTACCTCTTCATAAGTTAAGCCTTCTTTAATTGTTATGGTATCAGCAAGTATTATATGTGACTCATCATGAATGTACTTTCTAAGCATAGACACATGAAAAACAGGATGAACAGAGAACAATTCAACGGGTAACGCTAGCTTATAAGCCACGTTCCCCTTATTATTTATAATCTCATAAGGTCCGATAAATCTAGGACTAAGTTTCTCTTTCTTACCAAACCTCATAACTCCTTTCATTGGTGAAATTTTCAAAAATACCTTGTCACCAACCATGAACTTTAAGTCACGATGCCTCTTGCCAAAATAGGACTTCTGACGACTCTGAGCCGTTTTCAGCCTTTCTCTGATTAACTGAACTTTCTCTAAGGCCTCACAAACAAACTCTGGACCGATCAACGACACCTCTGCTGATTCAAACCAACCCACTGGAGACCTACATCTTCACCCATACAACGTTTCATAAGGATTCATACCAATGTCGCCTTGATAGTTGTTATTGTAAGCAAATTTTATGAGTGGAAAGTGATCATCCCAATTACCTCCAAAGTCTATAACACATGCTCGCAGCACATATTCGAGAGTCTGAATGGTCCTTTCTGCCTGGCCATCGGTCTATGGATGGAAAGCGGTGCTCAAATTTTAAGCCTTGAAACTTATGGGACTTTACATTCTTCCCGCTTAGGAACATTCGTCCTTGAATGTTGTGTCATAGATATCGTTGAGTCTATGAGTGATCTTAGTCCTATTCCGTTTTCACTTTTCTCTTTAGACCGCAACAGTTAAATTATTAAAAATTTCGATAGAGTTTCCACTGCTTCTGCTATTAAGTCAATTTTTTAACTTGTCATAACCACACAATAACAACAGTTGCACATCCAACTACTCTATCTAGAAGAACACATCAACATGATACTTCCACTATACAATATCAGATGTCATCATCTCACCACTTTGAACATATGTGCACCTAGCTACATTCCATCACTCGAAGAATAAATAAATTATATACTCGTGGAATGAAAAAAAAAGGGTATTTCTCCATAGTTTGTTCAGGTTCCTTTAGTCGAACGATTTTGCTATAATACCTTTACTGAATCAACATTTTTGATTTGTAATGTCTAAACGTGTCTATCAAGTATAGCAACTAGAACCTCTTCATAGGATAGCGTCTCATCAACTCGTACATTTTGAGAAGGAATTACATGACTTGAGTCGTATACATACTTCCTCAACATGGAGATATAGAAGACTGGATGTACGAAAGGCAACTCTTAGAGCAAGCAAGTTATACTACTTCCTAATATCTCTAATAATTTCATATGACCCAATAAACCTCGCTCAAGCTAGATTTTCCTTTATTCCTAAGTTTCCCGACACCCTTTCCTGGAGATAATTTCAAAACCCCAAGGTTTCTTGCTCTAGAATCATGTTTTTGATGCCTTTTTATTTGTATGAGACTGTTGATAATTTTGAATTGCGCGCTTTAATCCATCATTCAATAAACTTGGCTTTTTTTTTTTGTTAAATGGGTAAAATCATTGTATATGTCTTAATCAATGAATAGAATAGTCAGCTTCAGAAAACGAAACTTATCTTAGATTAACAAATCTTCTCCTACAAGATTACCATTTTTTTTTAGTTTTTGATCTCCATAAACTTGGTTAAACTAAAAAATTGAGGCTGCTCTAACTTTCTGTAATTACCTTTGCTATGAATTAACAAGTTAATGCGAGGGTATGAATCCAACTAAGCTT